CTATAATATCTTACTTAGTCCCGTGATTCTTAAGTCACAGTCAGGAAATGGTCCTTCCCCAGTTTTGCTCCTTCTGAATCTCACTGTATTTCTCTGGTATATCCTGTCTATACTTGAAGGTTCCCTTTTCTTTCTGTACCTTCTGTCCTGTCAAGATTATTACCAAATAATAGAGACTTTTGGTAAGCTTTGTATCTAGGAAACTTAAAGGTGTCAGTCTCAAAGACCTGCTTTTTGCTGCAGCCAAGACATAATTACTGAAATAAAAGTTTTGACATGTTTATCGCAATAAACCAATACATGAATGGGGGGAGGTAGTCTAACAAAATGTAATTAGGAGACCTGGGTTTAAGATCTGACTTGGCTACTTTCTGAGCCTCAGTTTCCTCATCTAGAAAGGGGGGGAGTGGGGTAGGCTAGCAGTTTTCAGCTAATTTCTAGCTCTTTCTATGATTTATACCATTAAAGCAGAATGGAAACAAATATTGTTTAATGTAACTGGTACATAGTGGGCGCTTAATAAATGTTTATTGGATTAGACTGAAATTTGTCCAAGGCAACATGGCTAACTGGTTAGTTAGTGGTAGTACAAATGCTGGGGAGCCTAGGTATTAGTTCCTAGTATTATTAGACTAGTTCCTAGACTGATGCTCTTTCTACTCTGTTGTCCCATTAAACATTGTTTTCTCCACAGAAATTCAGGCACTCATATACTAATTTACGGAGATTAGCATGCATACTACACAGACTTAGTCCTTGTTTACATGTCTCCAAAATAATTGATCAGTTTAGAGTTAAAAGAAACAGCTAGCAAGAAAAATTCAGTTAGAGCATTCATACTCATTCAACATATATTTATTAAGAGCCTTCTAAAGGGTTTGGTATCCAAGATATATAAAACAATTAATAAATATGTATGAATAATAGAGATCCCTAATAAATAAATGATCAAAGGATAAGAATAAACAATTCTCAAAAGAATTACCAAGTATTCACAATCACATACAAGAATATTCCAAATCTCTAATAATAAGAAAAATACAAATCAAAACAGCCCTAAGGTGTAGCCTTACACCCTGCAAAATTGGCAAAGGTGACCAAAAAAACCAAACAAACAAATAGTCAATGCTGGAGGGTTTGTGGATTAATAGGTACATTGTTTGTAGATCTGTGAAATGATACGACCATTTTTCAAAACAATATGGAATTATGCAAATAATTACCATGCCAGCATTCCTCCTCGCCCCAGGACCAGCCACCCAGAACTGTGACCCAGATCCAGGCATGGGCAAAGCAAGAGAATCCTGCACCATCAGAATGATCCTTGCAATCCCCCTCTGATCAGCCACTTGATTCCCCCACAGTCTGTGGGTCGGAAGCTCCGAAAGTAGCTATTGCCCCAGGACCGAGCTTGGGAGCTAGGGCTAGTATCATGCTTCTCTCTCACCGCGGTCACAGACTTTTCCCACTGACCTAAGTTGTCTTTGGCATTTGTGGATTAAGAAGTCTGGAAACTGCCACAGCTGCCCGTGATTCAGTCCTCTGAGGGCTGCTCCAGGTTTGCTGAGACCTGTTTTGCCTGTGTGCCCACGCCAAACTGTGTTCCTCTCCCAGCCAGGCATGATATACTTTTCTGATCAACCATCCAGGCTATCTTGGGCTGTAAATTTTTTTTCACTGTGTCTTTTTGTGGGTTTTGCTGCTTTAGAATTGGTGTAGAGCCATGTTTTTCAGGCATTTGGAGGTCTAGCTTGCAGAATCTTAAGCATACCTTGCTGACACATGAAATGAGCACAATTGTTTAGGTAATTGACATTCTTTGACACTGTCCTTCTTTGGGATTGGGAAATAAACTGATCTTTTCCAATCCAGTGGGCCACTTTTGAGTTTTCCAAATTTGCTGGCTTATTGAATGCAACACTTTAACAGCATCATCTTTTTAGATTTTGAATAGCTCAGCTGGAATTCTGTCACTTTCACTTGCCTTATTGTTAGCAATGTTTCCTAAGGTCTGCTTAACTCCATTCTCCAGAATGTCTGGCTCTAGATCAGTAACTGCACCATTGTGGTTGTCAGTGATATTAAGATCTTTCTTGTATACTTCTATATATTCTTGCCCCTCCTTACTCTCTTCTACTTCTTAAATCCCTACCATTTCTGTCTTTTATTATGCCCATTTTGACATGAAATATCCCCTTGAGATGTCTAATTTTCTTGAAGAGATCTCTTGTCTTCCTCATTCTATTGTTTTCTGCTTTTTCTTTGCATCGCTCATTTAAGAAAACCTTGTCTCCTTACTGTTTTCTGGAATTCTACATTCAGTTGGATATATCCTTCCCTTTCTCCTTTTCCCTTTTGCTTTCCTTCGTCCTTGGCCTCAGCAGATTTCTAAAGCCTCATCAGATAGCCATTTTGCTTACTTGATCTTTTTCTTTGAAATGTGTTTTTAATTGCTGCCTCTTGTATAATATTGTAAACTCCTGTACATTGTTCTTCAGGCACTCTATCCACCAGATCTAATCCTTTAAATCTATTCATCACTTCTACTTCATGTTCAAGCTGCATGTGGGATAAATAGGAAATAATAAACAGGGTAAAAGCACTAGAATTAAGAGGGTCAGGAAAGACTTCCTGTAGGAGGTGGTGTTTGTGGGACTGGAAGCCAGGGAGGTCAGTTGTGGCAGGAGAGGAGGAAGAGTCTTCTGAGCATGGGGGACAGCCAGAGAAAATATGTGGAGCTGAGAGATGGAGTGTCTTATTTGTGAAGCAGCCAGGAGGCCATTGTCACTGAATCAAAGAGTAAATATCTTGAAGTAAGGTATAAGAAGACTGGAAAGGTAGGAGGCTAGGCTATGAAGGGCTTTGAATGCAAACAGAGCATTTTGTATTTGCTCCTGGAGGCAATAGGAAGCCACTGGAGTTTATTGAGTAGTGGGATGACATGATCAGACTTACATTTTAGGAAAATCTCTTTAGTGGATGAATGAAGGATGGATTAGAGTGAGGAGGAACTGAGACAGACAGGACTCCCCCACATCCCCCAAAAAGCAGTCTATTGCAATAATTGAGGCATGAGGAAATGAGAGCCTGCACTAGAGTGGTGGCCGTGTTAAGAAGAGAAAAGGGGGCATATTCAAGAAATGTTGCAAGGGTGAAATTAGCAGGCCTTGGCAACAGCTTGGATATGGGAGGTGAGAGAGAGAAAGAATCCAGAATGACTCCTGAATTGTGAGTCTGAGGGACTGGGAGGCTGGTGTTGCTCTCTACAGTAATGGAAAAGGTCTGGATGTGTGGAGATTTAGGGAGAAAGACAATGCATTCTGTTATGGAGATGGTAAGTCTAAGATGCCTATTGAATATCCAGTTCAAAATGTCTGAAAGGCATTTGGACATGTGAGATTGGAAGTCAACAGAGATTGGGGCAGGCTGGGTAGATTTGAGAATTGTCAGCATAGAGATGGCAGTTAAACCCCTGGGAGCTGATGTGGTCACCAAGTGAGGTTGTATAGAGGGAGAAGAGAAGGTGGCCAGGGACAGAACCCTGAGGGACACCTGTGGTTAGAGACCATGATCTGGAGGAGGATGTAGCAAAGGAAAGAAAGAGTGGTCACGTAGTGGGGAGGAAAGCCAGCAGAGAGTAGTGTCCTGAAACCTAAACAGAAGAGAGTATCCAGGAGGGGGGAGTCATTAGCAGTGTCCGAGGCTGTAGAGAGGTCAAGGAGAATAAGGATTGAGAAAAGGCCATTGGACTTGACAACTAAGAAATCATTAATAACATTGGAAAAAGTGGTTTCTGTGAAATAAGGTTGGAAGCCAAATTGTAATGGGTTAAGAAGAGAATAGGAGAAAAAGTGGAGGCAACGATTGTAGACAGGCTTTTTGAGGAATTTAGCTACAAAGAGCAGAAGAGCTATAGGATGATAGTTAGCAGGGAAGGATCAAGTGAGGATTTTTTCAGGATAAGGGAAGAGAATCTTATTTGTACCTCCCTTGCCATACTTTCATACTCCCTTTTGTATTATAGTGATGTCTATTTGTCTGATCTCTTCCTAAATTTTAAGCTCTATAAGGTGCCATATTTTATTTTTCCTTTTATTCTCTTTTGGATCCAGCACAGAGACTTGTATATATTAGGCACTCAATGAATATTTTTAATTGAATTGAGTTAGCTTATGTTGATAATTTCAGCTCTCCCGTTGAGTTCTATGACCCCTAATCTTGACTTGACCTCTCCTTGTATCTTGTATGATGCAGCTGACCATGATGGTTTTTCTTTTTTCTTTCCTTATTTTTTTTAAATATGGATAGGAAGATATGAAAAACAAGTTATTTATACTAAGATTATTTTTCTGCAGTTTGTTGATGATAGTAATAGCAGTAGCTTATATTTATCTAGCACTTTAATGTTTATACAAACTGCTTTTCTTACAACAAACATGCAAGGTAGGTAGGTTGTATATTACTATCCCCATTTTATAGATGATGTTGACTTGTGCAAAGTCACTTGAGTGACTACTCTCAAAGCCATCAAGATTCTAACCCAAGACTCCTGATTTCAAATCTAGGGTTCTTTCTAGCAAATCACACAGCACCTCCTTGGTAGCTACTACAGCATCCTCCATGAAGGCTCTTCTTGGGCCCTAAGAAACTTACTTACCTTGTCTAATCCTTAAGTGGGATCAGGAGCCAGAGAAAGTGCCATTGTAGGTACCATCCAGGAGCACAGGAGTCTAGGAGTCAGGTAGCTACCACATCAAATTCCAAACACCTACAGAGACAAAAAAAAAAAGCCTTATGAAAAGCTTTGAGATGGCTTGAGAAGTCTACATCCTTCAGCTTCTGCTGAGGCGCTACACCTTTAGTGAAATAAAAGTGCTGATAAACAAACGGGATTTAGCTCTACCTCACTATGCTGTAGTAACAATTGTTGTTTCTTTGACTGAATTTATTAGAATTCTCGTGTTGTTTCCAAATGTTAACAATTTTGTAATGTTATACAGGCCTCTAACTCCAGAAGAAATTGCTCAAAGGCGGGAGTTTGCGAGAAGAAGGCATGCTGAAAAGCTGGCTGCTGCTCAGGGACAGATGCCATTGGAACCAGCTCTTGTTGAAAATGCATCTGAAATCTGTCCAAAGAAAGAAGAGACAAAAAGTAGTGTTGTTGTTGTAGTATTACTCTATATTTAAGAGGATTTGTGGGGTTAACCATTTTTCTACCATAATTTGAAAAGCCTTATTTGGAAATAAAGCAGCCCTTACACCTGACCTCTACTAAAGACATATTCTGATGCCTTGTCTTGGTCATGGAGTTGGCCCTGGGCTCTGCAGGCTGTATGAACAGGGCACGAGATTTGGCATGTTGTGCTCAGGGAGAATAGTTTTGAGTACTTTTCTAATGAGGCACTTTTATTTCTGGCAGGGCATGCATCAGCTCCACTAATTTAAGAAGGCTGATAGCTGGTGCATTTTTCCAGCCATAACAATTCAGAAAGAACATCTACTGAGGCACAGAGCTTTTGCAATCTATGTTCCATGGGGGAAATACACTCACCAATGAGATGAAAGGTCTTAAAATATTGCAGTGCATAGCATTTCACAGTTTTAAAGAAGTCTTATGTATACAGTCTCATTTAATCCTGACAATCCTGTGTGAATATTATTCTCATCGTAAAGTTGAGGAAACTGAGGCAGATGACTCGCTTAAGTCACACAAATAGTATGAGTAGTGGAGACAGGACTCTTGAGTTCATTGGTCTTTCCATAAACTGCCCTGGCTCTCTTCATTTGTGTATGACCACAGTAGTTGTTTATAAAGTGAAATTCACAGTTTTGACTTGGGGCATTACTAGTAGGTTGTCAGCACCACCCTCACTTCACATGCAAAGATGGGATTTGTTACATCATTTCAAAAGTATGTGCTCCTGCTGGATGTGGTGCGGGACTTTCGGCCCTCTCCCAACTTACATCATCCTCTGTTTCTCTTATTTTTGTTAGGCCTTATCCATACTACTGCTTTTTTCCTAAATTTTCTCCCTCTTTTCCTTAACATTTCTTAACTGATGGTTGATCAAAATGAGTAGAATTACTATTTCCTTTTGCTCTTCCCCTGTCATTCCTTGATGATAATTATTGAATAGTATTTTATACCTATTTTTCCTTTAATTAGATGATGAGCAGCTGACCAGTCCAGTTGAGAGTATCACCTTAAAACCTGTGATGCAGGAAGCAGAGGACAAAGATTCTTTCATTGCTTTTGCTCGGGTGTTTAGTGGTGTGGCTCGAAGAGGACAGAGAATTTTTGTCTTAGGACCCAAATATGATCCTGCTGAATTTTTGCAAAGGGTAAGAATTGGGGCTAAACTTTTATCCTATTGTGTGGTCCTTCTTCTTTCCAAATTTCTCAAACTGGTTTTGGGCCTGCTAAAAGTTGAGATCCATGTTGTTTTTAAAAAGTTAGCCTTGAATTTGGAACTGGGTACCATCATCAGGGAGTGAGCCCAGGACACATTGGTCTCCACTCCAAATCAATACCAAATTTCTTCTGTAACTTTGACTCAGATTTGGTATACCTTGCTTATCTCTCCTTGTTAGTCCTGTTAGAACAAAAAGTCACATGTGTTAGGCAACTGCAATTTTGCATTTAAATCTAAGGTTCTTTAACACTGTGCGGCAGATTTTTTGCAGAATGGATCAGTTGCACTTTAGAAAAACCATAGAGGGAAACCACCTTCTGTTACTTTGGCACTGTGAGATGTGGCAAAGTGTGGAAAAACACTTTAGTCTAGTGGGACTAAGAACAGCCCAAAGCAGGCATTGTGAGGCTTTGGCGAGACAGCTGATAATGGTTACATATCATAGAAAGCAGGTTAGATAGGGCTCTGTCATTGGATGGACACTGTGGGATTTGAGAACAACAAAGGTAAAGAAAAACACAAGATAATTATGCTTTTGAAAACCACCCTGTATGTCTTGTTTGCAGCTGAATAGGCAGTGAATAAGGGGCATGCCTTACCCCTGACTCACACTCAGAAGGGAGTGTGGAAGAGGCAGAAATAGGAAGCACAAGTCACTGTCAGATCACCTTGATGCTGAGTCAAGGTTCTCGATCACCCAGACAATTTTATAAGTTTTCTCTTAAGTTAGTAAAATATATTCCTGGGCATGGTGAGCCCAGGGTCTGTTGGTCAGCATAAATAAAGGGATGTGGGTGTAGCAACTTACCGTGGGGCCTGACAATAAACTTGACTTTGTTTTTGCATTGAAAACATTTTATCCATATTAAACATCTTATCCATACCTCTCAAATTATAGCATAAATTAGAGGACTCTTGTTTTCTATATACCCTGATTTAGCAAGAAGTACTTTAAATGTGTATATGTGATTATTCTTATTAAATTGTTAAATGTGGGGTGGTGAGATTTATGAAAATCCATTTGTGATTATCTTGGTGGTTTGGTTTGCACATAAATTTTATGATATAATTGCAAATTTCTTATTATTAAGTATCAAGCACTTCTTTTAAACCTTTTTTCACATTAATATTTGAAAGCTAGAAATTTTCCTAGATGACAAGGGATTTTTGTTTGTTTTTTTGTTTAAAAGTCTTGATCAGATGTTACAAAGATTATGGCCGCCTCTAATCATCCCTAGTATGTGGTTTCCTATTACTTTGGTAATGTTACAGCATCAGTGCCTACCTGACCTACTAAATGAAATATTCTTGAAAATTCAGATAAGAGTGATTGAAGTTTGTAAGGCCCACGTAGTAGAAAAATAAAATCAACTGTTCCCCTCCTCTTACTAGCAGAGTGGTAATCCTAAAGTACAGATCTGACCCCACCCCTAAGCACAATGCCTAGCATATAGTAAACGCTTAATAAAATCTTGTTGGCTGACACTCACTCTCCTACTCAAGAAGTGTTATGGCTCCCTATTACTTACAGGATCAAATACAAGTTCATGTTTGGCATTTTAAAACTCTTTACAGTTTTACCCTAACTTATACATTACTCCCTGTTTACCCTCCATGCTGTTCTACATCCCTTGGTACGAACTATCTCCCATGCCTGTAATGTTCTCCCTCCTCCCCTATGCCTTATGACCCTGATAGTTGAGAGATATAACAAAAATGTTTGTTCCCATAAATTTGGAGCAGACAGCTAGAAAAGTAACTAAGTAAAACAGAATACAGCATGTCTTATCTTATTTTGCTAATGGAAGTTAGTAAGTAGGACAAAGGTTAAGCTTTGCTTAGAGTATACATGCTTAATAATAGGCTTATAAATATTAGCTTCTCCACCTCCAGGAGGGGCTAAGGCACCATTTTCTGAACATGGGATGTATGAAGAAGGCGAAAGGTATGTCAGGGAGTAGACGTGTAATGGGTGTACCGGAAAGTTGTACACTTTGGAGTATTCAACCAATGAGGAAACAGAATAGGGCCTTTGTGGCCGGAATTAGAGAAATAGTGAACTCCTGCTTTGGTACAGTGCGTCCTACCCCATAGGACAGCCGAGTTTGCAACTGTGTAATAAACTGCGCTTTTAACTTCATCTCTCCTGAGTCCAAACAATGGTTCCAAGGACCAGCTCATTTCCACTTCCTGCAAGACCTTTTCTGATTCAGTCAATTGTTAGTCCCTATCCTAGTTCCTTTCTTCTTCCATTCTAACTCTGGTAAATTACCTTGTGTTTATTTTGTGTTTCCTCCAAAGAGAATGTTTCCATTTTTGTTTTCATATCTCCACACCTAGAATAGTAGCTGGCACATAGTAAGCATTTGATAATTCATGTTTAATTAAATTATTTTCACCTCCTCATACTTATTGCATTCCTTATCCTATGTTTAATTTCTTTGGACCCCCATCCATAGGACCAGTACACATATGTATAGGTTGCTTTGTTGGTTTGACCTGTGAATGCACAGGGTCATACTATATATGTTCACAAAAAAGTCAAGTCAAAAAGGATTTTTTAAGCATTTGCTTTGTGCCAGGCAGTATGCTGAGGATTCAAAGAAAGGCAGAAATAATCCCAGCCCCCAGTGAGCTCACGTTCTAATGGGAGAGACAACATATAAATAACCAGATACACATAAATTACATACCTCATAGATGGAAGGTGAAACGAGGGACAGAGTTTCTGGGTAATTAAAAATCAGTTTATTAATCAGACCAGCTGATAATCAATAAGTTGATGGTCATAGGTTTCTCTCAGTAACCAATAATACCTTTGGAAAAGGAGGTGCCCCTGAAGGGTGAAAATTAGCCCTGATTTGTGAACAGTTAATGAGGGAATGGACTTTCAAATGAGGAGGTAAGCTTTCAGCTCCTCATGCTGAAAACCATGGCTTGATCATGAGACTCAGCTCCCTCTAGCAGTCTGGACAAAGTAATCCATCTCTACCCAAACCACTCTGGTTTTCTCTTTCATGGGCTCGGTTACCCTAGACTCCAGTGGAGGGGTGCAAGGGCATAGATTTGATGCTTTGTGGCTGGAATTCACCTATATTAGGTTCTGTTTACATTCTAAATAGAAGTAAGGTTTCCTAGTGCAGTTTTGGTCTGGCCCGAGATCAGGGAGCATGTTCCCAGAGGATTTGGGCAATCTCATCTATTAGCAATGATCTCCAGGAACTGACTGACTTACAGGGACTGGTCCCTGAATGAAGAAATAGAGAGAAAAAGGCCTTAATCCTAATTTAATAATTGATTATTAATATGACAAAAAATAATAATTTCTTTCAAAGGTAAACTCAGGGGGGAAGGTACTAAAAGTTGGGGGAGAGGGAGAGAGATCAACCAAGCAACATATGGTTACCATACTTCTGGGTTGACTCCACATAGGCAGATAAATATTGTTTTTCTGTACTTAGTTAACTTATTTTTCTCTTTTGGTGTGTTCTTGCTTTGTATCTCTTATAGACTGAAATAGGATTACTTGCCTACATGGTAGACCTTTGGGAATTTGTCTTTCCTGGGCATCTAGGGACAGAGTACTTTTTGGGCATGGAGTTAGGAAGGCCTGAGTTCAAATCCTGATCCAGATGCTTACCAGTTGCATAACCCTGATCAAGACACTTAACCTATGTATTACCTCAGTTTCCTCATCTGTAAAATGAGGATAATAATAGCACCTACCTCCCAGGGTGGTTGTGAGGATAAAACGAGGTAACATTTGTAAAGTACTTTGCAAATCTTTAAAGTATAATGTAAATACTAGCTATTATTATAATTCTCAAGAATTCTCTAGATTACTAGCTCTCTTGACTTTCCGACTTTAGCCATCCAGGTTGGCCCGACGTGAACCTCAAAATCATACCTCATGTGGCATCTTTTATTTACAGCTTTCATCAAGTCACTTCCCTGCTCAGAATCCTCCAGTAGTAACCACTACCTTCAAGTTGAAGTTAGACTTCTAAGCGTGGTCTTGAGGTCCTCTAAAATAGGACTGCAACTTTCCTCTCTTATTTTATGTCTCATCACTATCTAAAACCTTTTCCTCAGCTCTGGCCATAATGGCATACTCACTTTTCATGAGATGTACTTTGTGTGTCTTTGCTCATTGTTTGCGCTATCACTTTGCTCAGACCTTTACCCTGCGGTAAGACTCACCTTGTTCCTTCTCTCCATCTGAGTCCTAGTCATACTTTATGATTCTTTCCTATCCCCACAGTAGATTTTTCCTTTAGCATCCCCACTTTTACCAGGCCACAGTGTTCCTTTGGTGGGAGAGCTGATTATTTGTACTACTGCTTGTCCTCTACCATCATGTATTTTTAGCTGTCTTTTTTATGTGAATGCACTGTATCTTTCCAAATATGTTATGATCTTTTAAAGTTAGGGACCTTTCTTTTTTTTTTTTAATGATTTCTTTATATTACTTATTGCTTCTAGCACAGTTCTTTGCACATAACATGTTTGCATAAATTTGTTGTTTGATTGATTGGAATGGGTACATTTTCACTTTTTATGGAATCATTCTTAGTTTATAAAATGTATATTTACCATCAGTCATTCTCTTTGACCAGGTACCTTTAGGCTTTTCGGCTTCTCCAGATGATCTTCCGTCAGTTCCCCATATGGCTTGTTGTACTTTGGAAAACCTCTACCTTCTGATGGGAAGGGAACTAGAGGATCTACAGGAAGTGCCCCCAGGCAATGTACTAGGTAGGACAGTGCTTTTAATTTCTCTTATTTAGCAAATAAATATATAATACATTTAAACATGTAAAGAAAATCATTCTGCAGGATAGTTCTCCGTCCTCACATTGCCATTACTTTCTTTTCTCTGGGATAAGGCTTCTATTCAGTGGAATGGTCAGCTTTTTAGAAGACCTGAATTGCTTGAAAATGTTTATTTAATGGCTCATTTAAATTATTTTCTTTCTCTCTTCGACCACCATTTTCCTGTCTGGCATTTCCTTTTTACCTGTGGCTAAAATTATCCATCAATTTCTATGAGTTTTCTTCCTTATTACCTAAGTGAGAAATCTCCAGTCGTTTGGTACTTCTTCCCTACTCATGATTTGTGTGTTCACATTTAAAATTATAAATGAAATATTGTTTTCCATTAAAACTTTTTTTTTAGGCAGTTGGGGTTAAGTGACTTGCCCAGGGTCACACAGCTAGTAAGTGTCAAGTGTTTGGTCTGAGGCTGGATTTGAACTCAGGTCCTCCTGACTTCAGGGCCGGTGCTCTATCCACTGCACCACCTAGCTGCCCCCATTAAAACATTTCTTAATGTGAACTTGATAGACCTATATTTTCAGGTTCTCTTCTTACCTTCATTGCAACTGAAATCTGTTGAGGGTAATTTCTTTAGTGGGTCTTTGTCCTGAACTTTTATGTTGTTAAGTTATAGGGCCCTTTACTGTAAATTGCTTGAGTTTGAATAAATAGGATAGCTGGTCTTTTGGTCTTGAGATGCCCCTTAGTGTCAGTAGACATTTATCTGAATCTTAGAACAGCTAGTTTAGAAATATTTCCTGAAATATTTTGACTTTTAGGGGTAGAAATACATATGCTTATGAAATAAAGTGCACAACAAGCATAATTATCTAATTGGCTTATGGGAGTCATGTCTTTTCCATGCCTTTTGAAGCTTGCTTTTGAATGGCTGTGAGTACTTCGGCAGCTTTATGGACAACAGTTACTAACAAACTGCTGGTTATTAGGAACTGTATTAGAAATAAAATAGAAAATATTATTCTGCCCTTGTACAAAACCATGAGAATTTTTGCATCTGTATCAAAGCCTCCTGTTGTTGCAACTGCATATTAACAGAGGTAAAATGGAACTGGAGAAGGTCCATAAGTGATCATTTAAAAAATCAAACAAATGGCTGACCTGAATGTGAGGACAGTGTAACAAAATTAAGATTTTGAAACTAAGTCTATAGAATCATGAATGATATGGGAAGGGTAGGTGAACATGGGACTGTTTTTGTCATGTTATCAATACTTGCATGAGCCCCTGTTATTAAGATCCAGATAGACAGTATAGTTTAGTAAAAAGAACCATAAACTGGGTTCAAGTGCAGGTTCTCCTAGTACCTAGCTGGATGACCATGAACAGATCCTTTCACTGGCTTGGACCCTTGTTTCTCAGTCTAAGTAATGACAGAGACAGGCTCAGTCATCTCTGTGGTGCCTTGTAGCTCTAGTGCTCTGTGAGTTCTTTAGAGAAATAATTTTACTCTAAGTAAAGTAGAGTCAAAGATCAGATTTCTCCCTCCCTGGGATATTTTTGAAGGATCAAAAAGCAAACAGACCAGGTTTGTTCATAGAGGGGATTTATTTAGTAGTTGTGCAGAGTTCTTCAGCCATTGTCACCAAACCATCTTGAACAGATAGATGGTGTCTCTTCAAAGCCTGCAGGATACCTAGGCCATTCCGCTTGTTCATTGAAGAACACATAGTGATTAGGAAGGTTTGCCACATGTGCAGTAATCGTGGAAGCAGCAGCCATGTCTGAAGCCAGGATACAGTGTCACCTAATAGAAAGCAAATTTCCAAATTTAGGAGTAAGTTCAGTATAGGGCTGAAAGGCAGGCCATGCATTCTGGTGTATTATGAGGTGGAAGGGGATAGAGTGACTCAGAAGAGAGACAGCAGCAGCTCAAAATAATGAATGCTGGGATGCCAGCCAATAGTATGTTGGGGTGAATTTTATTGATACCAGATGTGTCAGTATAGTTTTATCCACTTAAAAATGCTTTATCTTTTCACATGTGGATATGAAATGGAAAGGAGTCAACTCATAAGTTGGCTAAATTTGGCCTAAAGAATCTATTAATCATAGATATTTTGTTTTCTATTTCTTTTTACCACGTACATGGCAGGAGCACATTTCACGAGTTAAGCAACAGGGGGTCTTATTGTGATTTGGACAGACCTGAAGTCTCCACCTCCTTTTCCTCTCATTAATTAACATTGTAAAAGGTACCAATTCACTTTTTAAAATGCAAGAACTTTCAAAATAAGATTGATATGACCATTACCCATATGCTTCTCGTCAAAAATGGTATATGACATCAGATTTATCCATCCCAGATGTAAATTTTTGTTGAAAAAAGTAAATGAAAACATTATATAACTTACTTGAACAATTCAGCATTTTATAGACAAGAAAAAAAGCAGAAATTTCTTTGGCTTTTGAAAACGCAGGGGTTGACATTTGGCTTCTGCTAAATTTACTTGAAGAAGGGGCAGCTAGGTGGTGCAGTGGATGGAATACCAGCCCTGGATTCAGGAGACCTGAGTTCAAATGCAGCCTCAGACACATAGTATTTCCTAGCAGTGTGACTCTGGGCAACTCATTTAACCCCAACTGCCTCACCAAAACAAACAAACTAAAAAAACAAAATAAATTTACTTGAAGATCTTGTAATGATATTGATAGTGTACAACAGTGTTTTGTGGTCTGGAAACAATTGATTTAGATTTTGACTTCATCTGCTTGCCTTCTGACATTTGTGTAGTTAAAGATGAGGGCCCAGAGGAGGGCAGTGGGTCTCTAATATATTTAATACACACTTGCCTTTTGCTATATATGGTGATGAACATCTCTAAAAATATAAGTTTGCTATTGCCTCTTATTGAAGTATATGGGAAATTAAATTAGGTTTTCAAATCTACAACTTTTTCATGGAAACTTTTCAGATCTTTTCCAGATGGTTAAATTACTTTTAAAAGTTCTTGAAGAAATATTCTCAGAAGCAACTTGATACCTTTCTTTTTCACCATAGCATCAAGAAAATAATGAATATTAATAAGTTCCCTTCTAAACTTGTTTTGCTTAAGTTCTGATTGGTCACTGGGTCAGTAGGAAGTCATGGCATGTTGAATGAGCTAATTCTGTGATATATCATATGGTATGAGGGAAGACCAAGAAACTTTGAAAGAGCTTCATTATTTAACATTTATTTTGAGGAAAATATGAATAATTTCATAGTTTTTATTTTTTTAAGGTAACCTTTTATCTAAATAGTGATTAATTTGTCCCTTTATTCCAAACATTTCTCTTTGGATCAGGGAAGATTTGTTTTAGTCAGTTACAGATGATATTTGTTTTCATGTAAGAAAGTGCTTTAAAGTGTTTAAAATATTTACCTTATTAGTTCTGATGCCTTTTGCTGAACTTGTTTTTAATCATCCTGGATTAGGCCCTTTCTCTCCAATTAAAAGACTATCCTTTTTTATCAAAAGAAGCAGTGTTGCTTGTTTCAAGCTGAGGATTGTACATTAGGAATTTAAGCAGCAATTGGATTGTTTCCGTTTGAAACCTGTGTGAGGTAACCCCTTCTGTTTCTCTCTTAGCTAAAAGAATCTGTAATATAAGGAAAGATTATTTCTTCCTACTTAATTCATAGGTTAGGTCAGCTTAGCCAAAGTAGAATGGAAAGGCTATGCAAGGCTGTGAATTTTTTTCATACTAGACAAAAAAAAGTATGTTGGGGTTTTTTTCCTGAATGATCCAAGTATTTGCATGATCTTCCATTTTGTTTTGGCTATATAGAATATAGTTGTTATGAAGCAAGTAGTTACAGTTTGGTTGTTGTTTCAGAAAATGGCTAGGCTGGTAAAACTTATCTGTTAATTTGCTCTTTGTCCTCTCAAGTTATTGACTACGATCACCCAGATACGATTTCCTCATATCAAGTGGCCTATATGACCTTACATTCCCACAGCCTCATATAAGGTCATGGATGCTATGGACGCATTTGAGAACAGAAGGGCTGCTTGATGGGGAGATGTTACTGCAGGGCTCCATTCTACCACTTGCCAGTTAAATCCCCAAGTACCAAACAGCTGTCCTACTTTAAGCAGAGTGGGCATGGGGACCAGGGAGAGCAGCACAGTGCCTGGGTAGAAAAAGTGTAGAAGGGCTGGTGGAACATGCAAACTGTCATCTTGGCAAACTTTGGTTTCCACATCACTTCTTTCTTTTATTCATTCTTGATCAGGTTTGTTATCTTTTTTTTTTTCTTTTGGTGAGGCGATTGGGGTTGAGTGACTTGCCCAGAGTCACACAGCTGTGAGTGTTATGTGTCTGGATTTGAACTCAAGTCCTCCTGACTCCAGGGCCAGTGCTCTGTCCACTGCGCCATCTAACTGTCCCTCTTTTTGCTTTATTGCTGTTACTGGTATCTTCTTATCTTCCCTGAAGAACCACCAGCTGCTCTGCTCCTGTTCCACTCCTGTTCTGTCCTCCCTTAACCAGAACGATGACCATCTTAGCCTTTAATTCACTCATTTCCAAACAGACCTTGTTTCTTTCTTACCTCTCCTGCCCTTCCGACACACACAATTTCTCTCTTATGAGCCCACAAACTATGTCATTAGTGTGGCTATTCCTACAACTAATGCCAGCTGCCAAATGGTTACACCTGAGATAGTTTTCCTGAGTTTTTTTTAACTAAAACAGTTCATCCTTTGGTGATTGATATTCTGGTGATGAGCGTCTTATAATTTAACTAGGCTGGTACAAGGTGCAGGGCCAGTACTCCAAACTGTTTTCCAGTTTGGCATAGACTGTGCTAGAGACTCCACTCTGCCACAGTGAATTTTGTGCTATAATGTGCTATAATAATTTCATGCTATAACGTGCTGTAATATAAGTGCTGGAGTAGGCTTTTCGTGGAGGCTAATACAGTAAGGAAAACAAATGCAAGGAATGTAAAGAAATAATAGAGCCTCAAACTAGTAGACCAGGATGCTCTTTGGAGCTATTCTAAAAGGAACATGTATACACAAATGCAAGAGGTGAATAGACAAAAAACAGTGGAAAAGGACAAAGAATGAGGGTGTAATTGATATGTTGGTGTTATCTGTATGCTGAAGGATTTCTTTTGAAAGTTTGATTAATTACAAATTAAGCTTTGTAGGTTTTGCTTAAGGTCCATATTCAATTCTCAGTTTTAAGAATGAACCGTTGCAAACCATGATGAAGAACCACTGCAAAATAACGTCAGATAATGACTACATTTCGAAGTCTGTACCCCTAGTAACTGAGTGGAGATCAGTGTTGTCAGCAGGAAGCTGTATTAGCTGAGACTAACAGTGCCTGTGATAATAATATATCAGAATTACTTTTACATAGTACTTTAAAGTTGACAAAGTATTTATATCACAGCAAGTCAGTGTGGTAGATCTTATGAATATTATAATCCCTGTTTTACAGAAAAAGAAATTGAAGAAGCTCATGTAGATATTAATATCTCTATTTTTCAGGGTGATAAACTGAGTTCTAGAAATATTAAGTGCCATTTTCTTCCCTTTTGAGGGCACTAGGGAAAGCAAAGCACGACAGCAGTCTGCATCTCCCCTAGGTCACCGAGCTAATAACTCTCAGAACAGATGCTCAAACTCAGGTTTTCCAAATTCACATTTACTATCCTTTACTCAGCACTACACTTGTTTCCAAAGGTAACTACAGAACTGTTTGTCTTCAGCTTTTTGATGTGTATAGTGTTCTACCCGATAATTAAAATGTAGCAGATGTGAGGTCAGCGTTTTGTTTGGAGCAGCCACAAAGCTCTAGACTGTAGCATGCCTAAGAATTTACGGACTTGTGAAGCTCCACTAGTGAGGACCAAAATAACATTCTGCGTTAGACGGGGAAAGATTTAAAAAATAGAACCTATTGCAGTAGTATAGATATGAAACAACAAGGGTACAAGAAAAAAAATCAATAAGATTTGATGATTAATTGAATATTTAAGGGTGATAGGGAGTCAACAATGACACCTGTAACAGAATTTTGCTTTGCAACTATTTACATTTAAATATCTGAATTTTATCATATAAAATATCTATAATAACTTATTGATATTTGATTTCTTTTTCTGTACATTTCAATTTTTTATATACAGATCTACTTCTATGTAAATTGGCCTGTTTTTGTTAGACACTACTGTCCTCAAGCACCCAGATTCATTACCTGAAAGTCTTCCTTGATTTCCTCATCCTCATCTCCTCAGTTCTACCTCCATAACATTTCTCCTGTGTTTCCCATTTTCACTACCCAAGTGGCCAGCACCTTACTCTATATATTTTCTTTTCTGAACAAGCTAGATTACCAGCTGTCTCCAAATGTAAGTCTTATCTCCTGCTTCCATATATTTATAAAAAACTATCTCCGTCACCTCTTAGAATCATGATCTTCTTCAAGACTTAGGGAGGATTTACTCTTTCTGGAAGCCATCCTTGCTATCTCCACCATGCATGCCCCTTTCCCCCAAGTTGTTAATGGTCTCTCCATCATCATATTCTTTTACATTTTGTTATGTGTGTACATCTTCTAAATCTACGGTATTTAAGCTCCTTGGGGGAGGAGATGGGAGGGACATAAAAACTGTTTCATTATTGTGTGTTTGTTTCTCTAGCAGCCAGCATTGTTCTGTATATACTTAAATAAATGTTTATTCAGTTGTTGGGCATATACATACACACACACATTTTTTCCATTTAATAGTGGTCAGGAAAGTTTTGAAGGGGAGCAGGCTTTGGTGAAAAGATTATGAATTTGGTTTCAAATATGCTAACACCTAAATGGAAGTGTCCACCTGATAGTTAATGATCTGAGGTTGTATCTCAGGGGAGAAGTCAGGGCTGAAGGTGTCAATTTGGGGCTTATTTCTTGGTGGTATTAGTTGAATCTGTGGGGAGAGCAGGTGTTGTCAGGATTTGTTTGGGTTTTATACAGACTTTGCTAGCTGGGTGGAAGGAAATATGAAGGAAAATAATGCCCAGGCCCCAAATTTTAGTTGTAATATCAGTATGATGGATTATTGCTAGAAACCTGCCTTCATTGTGCCATGTATCATTGGAAGATAGCTAATGGTCTAGCATGAGCAGAACCAGGTTGGCCAGTGGTCTTATAGTAAGCAGCACTTCCAAAGTATCAGAGCACTGGTTACCAGTTGATAAATGGCTCTTCCTTGTTTCCCTTCCTCATGCTTTTTCCCTCCTTTTTAGAAGTAGTTTTCCTAGTGAACCTGTCACAGATGTGTGAATTGAAAACACTTGACAGATGTTGTAAGACATAGTAAATAACTATTTAGATATTACATACTGAACAATAAGTGCTTAATAGGTCAGATTTTAAATGAATTTTAGAAAAAATACTGGTGACTTCTGTGTTTAACATTTAGTCCATTGAGAGCGGCAGCATAAGAAACAAAGGGGAGGCAGGCCTGAGCATTGTTTAACAGGAGAGTCATGTGGACTGGAGGTTGAACTCAGAAAGACTAACCCAGATAGAAAGAAATAGGCCATGTTGGCTTAGGCTCGAGTTCCTAAGCTTTGCCTGTTAAGCAAAGACTGTCCAGCTGTGTACAGAAGCTGCTGGTATATACGGTTGAAGAGTGACTGGTTTTACACAGATAATTGGTCAGGTACCCTGCTCTACTGCTGTGCTATGACTCTACTGTTCAGGTATCCCAGGGAGCTAAGCTAAACTAAGCTAAGCTAGGCAGTGGCCTAATGATAATGATGGTGTTAACCTTTATATACTGTTTACTATGCGCCAGGCTTCATGAGGAAACTGGCACACAGGATTCCCAGAATCAGGAGCACCCTCATGGTCATATTGTGCCTGTCTTGGACTGCCTTGGTTTCTCCCTTCTTCCCCCACTGAAACCAGATGCTAACATGGCTTTCCCCAAACAGGACAGACTGCCTGTTTGCTACTTAGGGTAAGGATTGGGCTCTCTTTCTCCACACCCCTGAATTTGCCCCAGGTTGCAGAATTCCCAATCAGGGTCCTATCCAGATAGAACTCCTGTGGTCATCAGGCAGGGTAGAGCCAATTGCTTTTCAAAATAGGTAGCTTCTCTGGCTAGAAGGACGGTGAGACAGGAAGTATTGAAAATGTTGAAGGAGATATAACCAGGCAAAGGCAGAGCCAAGGTTCAAACAAAAGCTGACCTCTCTATCAGTAGGTGTGCTAAGCTGACTGATCCTCCCTGAGAAGTGCTGATTTTTCACAGATGCATTTGTGCCTTTTGGAAGTCCCATACTCTGGAAGAGTGAGTCTGCCCTGGTCTTAAAAGGACCTGGGTATAGGATAGGTCATAGCACCCTTAGCACATTGTCTTCAATTTCTTTGTTGCAGTGATTCTCCAAATTGGACTTGGATAGGTGTGCTACATTTTTGTTGTGGACAGAGAGCTAGGGGCGCAGTCTCTTCTGAATTCCAGTTTTCTCCCCAGGGAAGTTCTTGGAGTGCCTTTCTTTGGGCATTGGTCAACACCCTGGACAGGTGACATAGGTCCAAGAAAGTGAAGGATCAAACCCAGGAAGTTAGAAGAATTCTGAACTTAGAATCAGGGCAGTTGGATCAGTTAATGTCCCAGAACCTGTTTCCTCCTCTGTAAAATTAGAGATAATAATACCAACCCAACCAGCCTCTCAGGTGGCACTTTGCAGGCCTTAAAGCACTGTCTAAATGTGAATTATCACCAAGAACCCAGGCTCCAAACCTGGAGAAGGACTTAGAAACTGAATCTAGGCAATCAGCATTCTCTTTGCCAATGGAGTTTAATAGAAAGTTAGTCTTATGCCTTGTGCTTAGGGCCACAACTATTCCCAGAGTGTGAACAGATTTGAGCCTTCAGGTAGAGGTAGTTGGAGACACATTTGACTGGAGAAGGGGAATTGAGGGAACAAGGAACAAGGCTATTAATGACACTCATCATGATTAAGATAATGGTTCCAAAATAGTACTATGCCTTTTCTCCTTTGAGGTGTTTTTACTAGGAATTTGGGGTCCACTGGAAGCAGACATTAAAAAGATCCTCTTACCCTGTGGCTAATTGGGAAGATTAAAAATACTTCTCACCTCTCCATCTTCCTCACCTCTCTTGCCCTAAATTAGGGGTTATTTGAATGTTTTTTAGGCCCGGAGATCACTGGCAGGGGACCTGCTCTCTTCAGCTAGCTTTTCCTTGATTATCCATTTTCACTTAGACTTTTTCCAAGTAAATCAGTTTCAGGGGAGTAATCAAATTTCCCTAAATGGTATTTGAAAGGCATGGCTAAAGTTCATATTATATGAAAATATAGTGCTTCATGCCTCTGTAACACTGTAAATAGTGAAATTAAAAGAATAGCCTCTCTTCAAAGACTAGGGGAGGGTTGATCATTTGGGAGCCCTTTCCGTATCTCTTACCAGAATCTTTATAGGCAGGATTCTATTTATTCCCCATGCAAGGTGGTGGTTCATGGACGCTGCAGAGAAAGCATGAATGGTGAAAGTAGTCACAGATTCATAAAAATTAGTTCTGGAAGTAACCTTCAAGATCATTTACTGATGATGAAGAAGGTTAGTTTCTTGTTCGTTGTCACGTAAGGGCCCTGCTATTGTGAGTGGAAAGGCCACTTTATAAATAACCCTTCATTTTTTGTTTGTTGTTGATAGGAGAAGGCTTGTACTTGATCGTGGTTTCATAGAATGTGTAGATATCCACACCAGAAGGAAATGTTGAACCCAGTGGGAAAGGGAAATGCTGACGTTGACATGTTTAATTTGAGTACTTTTTGTTTTCTTATGTAATTAATTTCTTAAATGAAAGAAAACTTGCAATGGGTAATGTAGAATATAATTACAGTGGTTTAGATCAGTATTGTATGTTCCTATTTGCTTAACAGATGAGAAGGCTTTGAAAATTCATCAGCGAGTTCATTTTTGAGTCATGTAGTTAACTTTAGGAATCATCTGGTCCAACTCCTGCATTTAACAAATGAGGGTGCTGAGCCTCAGGAAAAGTTCAGTGACATGTTCAGAGTCACACCACTGTTTTAGCCCAATTTGGACAGACCTGGGACTCCTGAATCCCATTCCATCATTTTTCCACTAGTCCTTAAATACCATTTTTTTAAAAAAAAATCTTTTTATAATCTACATTTTTGAAAAGAGAGCATTTCTGAAATGCCAACACTTTCCATCTAAAGGTGGCATTTGTTGATGATTCTCAGCATTTGCAAAGTTAGAAGGAAATAGTAGGGGTAGACTATCCAGGGTCAGCACATGCATGACTGCTTTTAAGCTACAGGATTGATTAAGGATAAGAACCTTTATCTGGAAGTGATCTTAGAGGTCATGTATTTTCAACCCCCTCATTTCACAGAGAAGGAACCGGAGGCTCAGGGAGATAAAACGTCCCCGTGTCTCAGATCTAATAAGCAGCTGGGCAGGAATTCAAACCTAGGGCTTGTGACTCCAAATAGAACGCTCTTGAATTTATAGTTTCCCCAGAGTCTCAAAGGCTAGCATTTTAGAGGATGAAGCAACCTGGGTCTAGAGCCTAGAGACAGTTATTCACTGCCATGGAGAAGATGACTGGATAGTTTATCCACTGTTTCATTTGTCTGATATAATGCAAACCTGTTTGATACTGTTAGTCCATGAGTAAAAGAACAACAAAACATCATTAGTAGAATAGTTTAACTTCAGTTATTTATAAAGGAACTAAAAATTACCTTTGAGTTCATTTGGTTCTTTTCCTTTTTAAACTTATCCATGGTCCAGTATTCATTCACCTTTTCTACCTTCACTGTAATTTGTTGAATTCAGGAAAGGAATGTTATATTTTCCATGTGAAAAAAAAAAAGACTTTAATAGTGATTTTTACAAATCTCTTATGGTTCTAGTTAGAAACAGTGATTTTGTTTTTAGAGGCTTTTTTATCCCTTACTTGGATCCTTATGAATAAATTTTTTTTTTAAATTTTATTTTATTAATTTATTTTGATTTATCAACAATCACTTCCATATGCTTTTGAGTTTAAAATTTTTCTCCCCTTTCCTCCCCACCGCTCTCCCCAAGACGGCGCACAATCTGATATAGGCTATACATTTACATTCCTATTAAACATATTTTTACATTAGTGAAGCTGTAAGTAAAAATTAAAACCAATAGGAAACAAAACTCAACAGAAGAGGAAAAAAAAAAGATAGCGATTCAACTTTCACAGTTATGATTACTATCTGTGTCTTTTTCTCCATCCTTTTCCCCCCCTGTTTATGCTTTTCTTTCTCCTTTCTCCTTTCCCCCCCACTAGTGTTTTGCTTTAGATTACCGCCTCCTTCAGTCTCTCCTCCCTTCTATTATCCCTTCTCCTTTTCTTCCCCTTTGCCCTTACTGCTTCTTCCCTCCCTTCTATTCCTCTTCCCTTTTCTTTCTCCTTTTCCCTCCTACTGCCTATAGGCAAGTTTGATTTCTATACCTAACTGATTATGTTATTCCCTTCTTGAGCCAGATCTGATGAGAGTAAGGTTCAAACAATGCTCACCCCTCCCTTCCTTTCCCCCGGCGGAATAAGGATTTTCTGTCTTTTCCTGTAATGTAATTTACCCTTGTCTGCCTTCTCCTTTCTCAGTACATTTTCTAAGATCAGACTAATCCACTTACTTGGATCCATTTAACCCACATTTGATTAGATTTTTTTTATCAATACATAAAATCAGCTAATATCCACCCCCTTTATGTATACTCCTTTAACATGGTGTAATAACAATACAGTTCTCAAGAGTTGCAAGTGTCATCTTCCCTTGTAGGGATTAAACAGTCCCCTTATTAACAACATTTTGTATCTTTCTGTCCCATTTACCTTTTTATGTCTTTCTTGAATCTTGTACTTGAAGATCAAATTTTTTGTTGAGCTCTGGTCTTTTTATCAGGAAGGTTTGGAAGTCCCCTATTTGTTGAATATCCATCTCCTCCTTGAAAAATCATGCTCATTTTTGCAGGGTAGTTGATCCTTGGCTGCATCCAAGCTCCTTTGCCTTAGAATATCATGTTCCATGCCCTGCGTCTTTTAATGTAGAAGCTGCAAGGTCCTGTGTAATCCTGACTGTGGTTCCATGATATTTAAATTGTTTCTTTCTGGCTGCTTGCAGCACCTTCTCTTTCATCTGGTAATTTTGGAATTTTGCTATTATATTCCTTGGTTGTCAATTTGGGATCTCTTTCAGGTGGTGAGCAGTGTATTCTTTCTATGGTTATTTTACCTTCTGGTTCTAGGACTTCCCGGAAGTTTTCCTGTATGATTTCCTGAAAGGCACTGTCCAGGATCTTTTTTTTATCATGATTTTCAGGTAGTCCAATGATTTTTAAATTGTCTCTCCTGGATCGATTTTCCAGGTTGGTTGTTTTACAATGAGGTATTTTATGTTTTCATCTTTTTTCATTTTTTTTGTTTCTGTTTGATTCTTGCTCTCTCATAGAGTCATTAGTTTCCATTTGTCCAATTCTAGTTTTTAACAGATTGTTTTCTTCTGTTAGTTTTTGTACTTCCTTCTTCAATTGGCCAATTGTATTTTTAAGGGATTTGTTTTCTTCAGTGTACTTTTTTTCCAGTTTGCCAATTGGCCAATTGTATTTTAAGGACTGTTCTACCTCTCTCATTAGACTTTTAAAATCCTTCTTGAGCTCTTCTAAGAAGGCTTTTTGGGCTTCAGACCAGTTTATATTCCCTTTTGATGTTGCAGATGTGGATTTGTTGACAATGTTGTCCTCTTCAGAATTTCTGTCTTGATCTTCACTCTTCTCATAATATGAATCTATGGTACGTTTCTTTTTACTCATGGTTTCTTTATTCCCTGGCCTTTAAAGAGATTGAGCTCTCCTGCTGGGGAACAGAGGGCACTGACCCAAGCTTCTTGTGTTGGAAGCCTACATCTTGGTCACTGACTTTGTGTGCTAGGCCTCCTATGTTGGCAATTGGGGGCTGTAGGGGTTCTGGCAGCTTACCTCGTGTTGGGCTGGAATCAGCAAGGCTGGAACTTTCAGGCAATTCTAGGTTGCCTGCTTTTCCTTTCCTTTAGCTTTCTTCAGCTCCTTTTAGATGGGGGTGCTGCAGGGTGTTTATCTGCCTGGGGCCCCTTGCAGTGCTGCCTCTCTCGTTTCTGCTAATGCAGTGGGAGATTCCTTTGCATAGAATGCTGAGGCACCTCGTGGTTGTCTGAGCTGGTTTCCACTGGTTCCCCCTCCCTCACTGAGGCACTTGGAGGTCCAGATGTTGGTGTTTACCTGCTCTACCACCTGGGCTTCAGGATCTCCTCCTGGTTGACAGTTGGAGGCTATAGGGTTCTGAGAGCTTACCCGGTGTTGGGTTAGAATGAGCAAGGCTGATACTTTAGAAAGACTCTAGGTTGCTTTCTTCAGCTCCTTTCAGATGAATGCTTCGGAGTATCTGCCTGGGGCCCTTTGTAGTGCTGCTTCCCTTATTTTTGCTGAGGCACTGGGAGACCGATTTGTT